TCGTGAGAGAAAATATTGTTGGGAGATTGGCATCGGCCCCAAGTTGGCCCAATATACCATGAATCTGGCTGAGCATCATTGGTAGATAACATCCGGGCTACTTGTAATATCCGCGCCATTTTTAATCTGACACGAGCATAATGAGACTGATGCCTTGCATATCTTCATCCACTTTGTAAGTATTTATAATATGTTTGCTTCGACACAGCTTAATTAACGTTTATACTTTAAACGATATCGTGTACAGATCTGTGTAAATCAGTGCAGAGGCCAGGTGCTGTTGAGTCAACACTGTCCCAGATAGCATGCTAACATTGGGCCAACAGTGGGCCAGTGTTATCAGTTATATTGGGCCAATGTTGGCAAATGACATTGGCCCAATGTAAGTTTGCTTATCGGCCCAATGTTGGCCCGATATGTTGTGATAACGTTTGCCCAATTTAGAGTGTTATTGCTACAGATATTGGCCATACGTTGCGACAACATTGTCCAATTGAATGCGACATTGGGCCAATCATGGCCCAACGTCAACAAGAACATTAGGCCAATGTTGGCAAATGACGTTGGCCCAGTGTCATTTTGCTCATTGGCCCAATGTTGGCCCGATACATTGGACCAACATTGGGCAAATGTGTATAAACATTTGATTGTTACAAATCTGATGGTCTCTAAAATCAGAAATAAATCTACTACCAATCCTTCTTGAAAATACAAGTTAGCTAAAATAAATTTACAAGGCTTGTTAAAATTCTTAAAATTTATCAAAACAAAATAAATTATCAGTGATTAAATTTATTGTTTCTATACAAGAAAAATAAATGAAAGTATAAAATAACAAATGCGTTTTGATACAGTTAAAACAATAAATAATTGCTTCTTATTTAGATTGAAATTAGTAGAATAAATTTCCGAAGTCTACCACTCATTTTACTTATATACACTTAAAGTCGAGCACATGATCAAACATGTTGAAAATCTTGAACATGTTGAAGTTCAAACAAAATTTATTCTGTACTAAAACATAAATTGGGCTCTTTCATTTAAAATGTGTTCACTGTACCGACAAATTTTCTGAACATGTATTTTACTTTGAATAATGATTTATATGGGGCAACATTGAATGTCAGTGTGATGATGATGATCAAGCGTAGAAATTTTATGCATAAATGCCTATATCACGCAAGCTAATCGCTTAATCACACCATGAAACAAAAAGGACGGTTATTCCTCAATTGACAGCTTAAAAATATAGTGATATACTTTTTACTGAGAAAAGTAACAAATGAATTAAGTACTAAATAATGCAGTTTTAGTGCTACTGGAGATTCTAAAAAGACATTGAGAACACAATCAAAGAATGGCTAAGGTATACCAAGGACAGTGATAAGGGAGGAAGCAACAGACAGAGAAGAAAAGAAGGGGAGGAGGAGACTCTGGAGAGAGAAGAGGAGACTTAGGAGAGGGATCAGATTGAACGTGGCAGTGCCTAACTTTTCTCTGTTATATACTGTGAAATACTTGTAGTGCCAGAAACATTTTTTTGTGTAAGTAAACAAAATTGCGGGATTCATTTTAGTATTATTTTGAGAACAGGATGGGTTTGTTTATTTTTTAGATGTGCTTATTGATACCTGCAATTTACTGAACTTGTGCATAAATTTACATCACAGAGGGAGTATACAATCATGTAACCTTACACGTTTCGTACAAGTGAGCATCAACTTTCTGTTCCTTATTAATGTTTTCTTCATGCATTGAGCAATAAAATTAATAAGTTATAATGTAATTTTATTTTCTGATTGCTTTTTCCTCATTTTTTTTAAATTAATGTAGAGCTACTTACAATGCAATACTTGTTGATGGTAATTCTTAGAGATATTGTGAAGATGTATTAAACTATTAATCTAGTATAAATATTATATAGTATTAAAGGGCTTTTACCATTAAATTGTACTACAAAACTAGTATAACCTTATTATATATAGTTTGTTATTCAATTTTGAGGACAAATAGGCAACCAGTGAAGAAAAATGAGTTGTCCTGATGGAGAGCCAATAAGATACAAACCAACATTGGACCAAAAACGGTGTTTGCCTAATATTGAAAGAATAAGTGGCCCAACAATGGCTCAATAATATCCATTCGTTGGTCCAACAATAAGCCAACAAGTTGGTCTGATTAAGGGCCGATGAGCAAATTACCGATGGCCCAATATTAATTGCTTACAATGGCCCAACTGTACAAAAATGACGTTTGTCCAACATTGAAAAAATACATTGGCCCAACAGTGGCCCAATATTAACTGTTACATTGGCCCAACAGTAAGCCAACAAGTTGGTCTGATTAAGGGCCGATGAGCAAATTACCGATGGCCCAACATTAATTGCTTACAATGGCCCAACTGTACAAAAATGACGTTTGTCCAACATTGAAAAAATACATTGGCCCAACAGTGGCCCAATATTAACTGTTACATTGGCCCAACAGTAAGCCAACAAGTTGGTTTGATTAAGGGCCGATGAGCAAATTACCGATGGCCCAATGTTGAATGCATACGGTGGCCCAACATAAGGAGCATTGTTGGCCCAACAAAGGTCCAATAACATCCTGCTATCTGGGTCAAAAGGTCAAAGATCTGGCGAATATTGTTAATGTGAAAAAATATTAACTATCTGTGTATCCCGAAAACCCCTTTACTCTTCAGGGCGTGCGGGTTTGGACGCTGTCATGAAGAAATTTAATGTAGTGGATTCCTGATTCTGGGTCCTTCCTCTAATAAACCTTTCGATTTTTTTGCAAAAAAAATTGTTTTCTAGCCTCATCCAGAAATTAAACTGTCTCCCCGAATACGAATTTGAACAACAATACCACTAATATTTAAGAACATTGCAAATAAATCTGTCTTTGTGCTCTTGCAATTCTTTGCTCTCGCCAGACCTTCCCTGTTTTTGTCAAGTACATCTTATGGTAAATTTTGTTTTGAGGATTTTAAGCAATAGATTCAAGTTCCATTATCTGTTTGAATATCAAAAAAACGTGGATAACTCGAATTACTGATATTTTAAAGTAATTGTTAAGACATTCGTACACGCTGTCTTTTTCACTCATTTTTCAAAATATAGGGTGACCTTTGAGTACTAAGCTTTTTAACCGTCAAACGTTTCTTTAAAAAAAATGTAAACTACCCCCGATGTGATGTCTTTCAAATTTGTTATTTGTCTTAAAGTCAATCCTACATCATCAAGTATTTTTTGTTGAAATTTGGCAAACAGTACATAAGTTTTATAATTTTTTGTTGGCAAGGACGGTACCCATTTTTGATGCCCATTATATAATTTTTTATCATTGAAATCCACCTGCTCATTTGTCTATGAAACAGGTATAAGTTGCTGTAAATGTCACTTATTTCAGTAAATATTTCTTTGGAATTTTTAACAAGTTTTACAGCAGCTTTGTTTAAGCTTTTATTTTCACTCTAGTTTACCGATTCTTTATCATTCATTTACAATGCAGTGTCTCGAATAGCCCTTGTTTCCCAGCTTCTCACAATGAAACTACGTGATGAAAAGTGGTCACATGAATTGTTATAAATTCATTAAAGATTCAATTATGAGAGAAAGCCAATTTTAATGTCATATTATATCTGTATAGCATGTCATATCGTTCAGGACATCAAATTTTATTTGAAATTATCTACTTTGAATGAACATATATTAGTATATTAACCTGTGTAAACAAAAACAAGACACTAGCCTTGTTTACATAACAAAGGTTTGGAGCTCTAAATCTGTCTTGTATCTGGACAACTGGCGTTCAAATTTTTTATGATCATTAGAAAGCCCCTAGTTAAATATTTGTAAAAATGGAAAAATAAATTTTGAAATTTAAGTTGAAACTGTGGCTATGCCCCTTTAAAAACAGAATTAGTTTACAATTGAAAGAACTTCACTCTACAATCTAAGTTTCCTCTGGATGTTTTGCTTATACCCAAATTAGTCCTTCAGTAAAAAAAAAAATATTCAGTAAAAATAACTATTGTTTGATGAAAACTGAGCCCTAATTAGAATAAATTCCCTTTATCCTTCCTGGTGATTATCTGCATCACTCCTCAAAATTATCACTCATCAGTCAAACACAAGATCTGATCTCATTCTTTTTTTCAATTTTTCATATACTCAACCTAGTCGTTTGACAGAAATCACTGTTGAAAAGTCCTTTGCCATGCATGTTCTAATGCATTTTCATTGAAGTTCATTAAAAAGGAAACATCTAGTCTTTCAAAACTTAAAAAAAGATTTTAAACTGAATAGTTTGTAGTGTTTTCAACCTTTTTTTCCAATGAAATCATGTGAAACAAAATTGGACTAAACCAAGACCCAAACTGGTGGAGAAATAATACTGTGAATTCTTCATATTTAAATGACCTTTTGTTTTACACCATTGCATGAATTTCTATTAAATGACCTAGAGAATCCAGCAGTTTTAGGTCTGATATAGCCAAGAAGGGTTCTACATACCCTAAGTCTGCACATTGCTATCGTTTTGTATGTTCATATCACAATCCTTTAAATCGCTTTAATGCGACTTACAAAAAATTTACGCCCTGAATTTTTAAAATCAGATTTATCAGTAAGCGATCCAAAGGCCTGTGGTTCATATGAAGCCTTTAATGACTAACTTGAACCAGTTTATAGATTTATATGCAATGTACTGATGAAAACTATATATATATCAAACCTTATAGGTAGTTCTTAATTGAAAACAAGGATAGTAAAGTAAACATGATTTTTTTGTTTTGTTTTTGCAGAAAGCACAACTTCCTCCAGCCTTTTAATAAGTAGAGCTTTTTACACTTTATTTGTTTTAAGTGTTAGGTAATACAAACTTAACTATTTATGTAAAATATGGTACTCGAGTCCCTATGGTCAAATCTGTAATCTATAAATCAAAAAGTATCAGAATGGTTCCCTTACCCTCAAACTTCAACTCAAAGATTGAAAGAAGTTTTAATCATTTATTTTCATACAGCGAATTTTGGAACATTTTTTTGATACGATATTTACTATATCAGGATAACTGTTGGTCAACTTTTATTTACTTAACACTTGATATGCACAAACAAAATAAACATATCTACGCAGCATATATGCAATCATGTTAATATAAGCTGAATACATGCTCTTTTCTTGGGATGTCACAGTTACAATCAATAAGATTTTGTAATTTTTCTGTAACCTACGGTTAATTAATACCTTTGAAAACAACTTACAAAATAAAAAGAATCAAATTTTCACAACCGATTGTGTTTCTATAGTATAGTCTTCTCAGCACAACACTTCATGCACAACATCTTTATAAAGCATCTACATTTAAAAAAACAATTAAACTAAAATCAAATCATCATTTGGTATACATGTAAAAGGCTTAAATAAAATTAGGCATCAAAATGAATTTAAAGAAGTCCTGTCTTTGGTCTTTGAATATAATAAAACTACCGATTCAAGATACATGTACTAAGCACTTGATTTTTTTTATAAACACCACTGCAGATAACTATCTACGTGAACAATGTTTTCTATTTTGACCACTGGAAAATTTAACTTTACAAAGACACCAGACTTTTTTAAAAACAAAGTTAAGACTTTACACCCGAAAACACCACACACAAAAGAAAGTTTACTATTTGATTCTGGCAAGAACTTGGAATTGTCACGATACAATCATAAAGTAACTAAATTTTCGGGCGTTTTAATCCTGGTTCATCCCCGGCGCCATCATAATTCTCTCCCTCTCCATCCAAGCCCTGCATAAAAGCACCTGCGCACCAACTATCAGTACTGTCTTCTGGTTTTTGGTCGTGAGGGGAACCATTTTGACTACGAGTGTGTGGCGTAATCTACAATGAAAAGTGATGTGATTTCAGGTTCTTTTTTTTTCTTTTAATAGTTCTGATTATACCCCCCAAAAAAGAATGAGGATGGATTTGAAACAGATCTGCCCAACTTGGGTTTGTTGTTTTTTTAAATTCCCATGCAGAAAGAAAGAGGTTCATGCAGTTATCTGTTCAGGATCAGAACTTTTTTTTTGGCATGCAAAAGAGGGGATAGAAGATTCTTTCATCACATCACTTTTAATTGTGTGTGCGACAGGACCCAACATGTGTCAAACCAATTCAATTATTTGTGATTATGTCATGCAGATTCAAGTTAGTGGGAGTATATATATAGATATGCAGATTATGCAAGTGACAGAAAAGTAAAAATGGTTAGGTGTGCCAAGTTATGTGCAGATCTGTTGAGTAATATAAATTATGTGATGGTTAGTATGATATTAAAAAAAATATCTAAATATATACTCAGTACATGATATAAGATATGTATACACAACAGAATGAATTTCACATAAATTAAGAATGGTTAAATTCTCACACAAGACAATACTAATCTAAATGTGAAAAGCATTAATTATACCTATTTATATATAAATTTTATACATGATAAATGGCTTTATATAAAAGAAAAAGATAACTTCAGGATTTGGATGTCAGCATTTATTTAATGCATATTGTACATATATAATTTTTTATATATATCATGGTACCTTTACAATGACAAAGACTAAAATCTATTTCATATGATTTCCATCATGATATGGACAACATTTGATTAATATTTTTCATAGTTTGATTCTATCAAACCTTTTAAAAAGGATTGCCTTAAAAATTATGCTTAAAATGGGGATTATAAACAAAATAATTTGATCTAATAAGTGTTTTGATATTGACACTTAAAACATAGCACTTCCTCACAGCAAAAAAAAAAAAGAAAAAAATATGCGGAACGCAAAATAAAAATGTCTTTCTAAATCAAAAATATTTTTTACAACCACACATTTAAATGATTTCTAGTATACAACAACAATGGAGAGATTAACATCTTGTTGAACTGTAACTTTAAGATAACAATGACAATTAAATATAAAATGGTACATACAATGTTCAGTGATAAGAATAATTTACAAAATTTGTCTTAAATTTGTTTTTATTTAATAGAGCACTAAGATTGATATGACAAATAATTTTCAGCATTTAATAAAAGTCCCTGCTGATCAATGTATGAAAGTGAAATACCACTATTTCCCTAAAATCTATTCTCGTCTCTTTCAATCTAAACAGAAAGTTTACCCTGGTTTGGGGTTCTCATTCTGTGTTTTTAATTATTTTCATTTTTTTTTTCTTTGGAGATAGAACAAGATTCTTCTTGGGGAAAGTATATTGATTTGGATATAATGAGCTTTTTTTAAGAAGCTCGTTTCCATGGCACACAAAATTCCAGTGAGATTCGACTTTTAACACTGTAATCAAGGCAACTACAAATTTATGATGAGATTTCATGGCCGGCATCTCCTAGAACAAGAGCCTTGGGCTTCACTGTAGCTGTAAATATGTATTGTTTAGCACGACATCAGTATATATAATATTGTTTATCTTTCTTTGAATGATAGTTCGATTTTTTCTGCTTGAACAAAGTAATATTGGATGAGAATCAAAAATATTAATCTATTTTCAATTTTAACTGCAGCATTATAATTAAGAATACAATAAATTGTATTTTCATAATTTTAAACAATTCAGAATTATATTTTTAATGCATTTTTTTCACTTTGACTAGCATACTAAAAACCTATATAAAAGTCAATAAAGCCCAAAGCTAAAAGCTCACGCTATGGTTACACCATCTAAATCACTATCTAAATTATCTGATTAAAACATTGTCAAGAATTGTATCATTAAAAAAGTCATGCAATATTTGTAAAATCAGTATATAACAAAAAATATACATAACAAAAAAATACAATCAACAATTTATGTACACATTCACAATATAAACAAGCATTAAGACCCATTAAAAATCATCACTTTTGTTTAATAGCTGGCAGCAACACACAAACCTCAAGGTAGTGAAATATACGTCTTCGAAACCGAAGTTGTTTGGGGAAATTTAGACTTCCATAATAACCTCTGAAGATTTCTTTGTAATTTATAGAGAGACATTACATAACTAATATTTTTAAAACTATGAGAAAAACATTGCGTATCAGTTACATAGCAACCATAAGGTCAAAGGTCATGGTGTCATCACCATGACAATCAACTTCTAGGGGAGTGCAGTACCTGTTGGTTCATATGTTGTTCATACATGGAGGCTGGCGTACTGTGCATGCTGTCGCTACTATAACCACCAGACTGTGAAATGACATGCCTCAATGCATTCACCTAAATACAAAACAGCTTAGATTTACCATGCTATGACAACAATCACATGCTTAAAAGGCTCAACTTCTTATAAACAAACCAAGACAAAATTTAACTTATTTGGTTTGTTTTGGTTTTGGAAATATCACAGGGCCATGCATCTTACTTGCTTTTTAAATATTTTATGCTGAAACCAGTTTTTTTTTTTTTTCTTTTTTTTTGTATATAAAAAAATTTAATCATAATTTGCTACATGTAGTATCTTGATGAGAATCTTTAGATATACAATTTTATATGCTCTTAAATAATGTGAAATGAAATGAAATTCTTCCAAGTTATATTTATTTCTTTAAAGATTTCCTTTTATCTTTTCACTGAATCAGTATTTGGACTAAATTTAAAATTTAAGTTAATGCTACAACAACTGTTGAATATTTTGACAACAAAATAACATTTATGTATATAATAATCAGGTACAAACAACTTGAATGCAGCATAGGACTATAATCCAAAGGGCATGCTATATGATACATCTATAATGTTAATGCAGTATACAAGGAGCAAACTGAAAGTAGCAACTTTGCTTTCCTTACTTTCCCTTTGTACACCAAAAGTGAAACTAAATGTAGTTTCTTAACAATGACAAAGATTTTCTTAATAAAAAATGGTCACCTCCATGGGGAGATGAGGGAAACGAATCGGACACTTGGCTAGCGAAGATGGGGATGCCAATATCCAAAACAAGTTTTAAAACACAGCAAAGAAAGAATATAGTTCCAGGTACGAAAACCAAAGTTGCTACGTGGGTTGAGGAATGTGCCCTCTCAAGCACAGACCTGATTTTGGACATTGTCTCCTACCGAATTATCACTACTCTGGTAGTTGTCACCGCCGTTAAGATTCATGTACATCCCTGCCTGTCCCCCGCCCACATTGTAACCGGCCGCTCCTGTCAAAATAATACATAAGGATTAATAATCTTGTAGAATTAATCTTGTATCTAACTAATACCAAATTAAGTCAAAATCATCCATTTGTTCTTATTAAAGCAATAATATTAACATGTAAATAAAGTTCTTTATTTCTTCTAGAATTGAATATACATATATAAAATGACATCAATTAGCACCTACCAATTAATGTACCAGTACCATATAATGTCATATATATACATGTACCTTAATATCATAAATTTATGCATGTACTCCCATTACACATGCATTTGCATAGTTTATATTTCAAAGGGGTCAGCTTTAACATTTCTATTCCCTTAAATTACTAGTTTTCAAAGATTTCAAATCATTTAACTTTCTTCTGCCTTCATAAGATAAGAAACCAAGGAAATACTGATATGTGTAAAACTGACCCCTGACAATAAAATATATACCATATCTATTAGTTGTGCAATATGAATCTCCATTTTTAAATGTAATGTACTCATATATAACTATATAGGATGTA